CAATACAACGAAGTTCTATCAATCTACTGAAAAGCCGCGGAATACATAACCAAAGAATCGCGTGTCAAATATGGGCTCTGACGTCGATAATGAAATTAACAATACAAGTAAAACAGAACAAAAGTTTCGATACAAATTAAAAGAATTTTGGTGGCTGGTAAACAGCCCTTTATTCTATTTAAATGATGGGCATTCACTGACTCGCATTTGGGACGAATTTGACCTTTAAATCTTAAATCCATAGAGATTATTGCAATATTTGTTTTTATATTGTCGCCCAACACTGAAAGGACTTGAAAGGAAAAAACAAAGTTACAAAGGTACTCACATATCGGTCCCGCTTGTGCCAGAGGTTGAGAAAACGAAAAGGCGAAAGTTTACCAAGACTATTCAAAACTTACGAAGAACTGATTAAAGGGACGCTAAACTTGCCTTTTATATGCGCGTGGTGACGCTGAGAGGTCCGATTACAAAACCAATAGAAATACAGAAAAACAGATAAGCATTGTAACTATGTGGCTATCTAAGATCATTCTGAAATTAGTGAACTAATCAATAATCAATCAAAAAATGAGCCTTCTGGCTAATGTCTTTAACACAATGAGATATTCGACGATGTGGTTGGTCCTCCAAGTGATTGTGGATTGTGTTCACAAACTGCATTGGTTTAGGTTGAAGTCTCCCTATAGATCATTATATCAGTTGTAGTGTAATGACAGTGTGCGGCCACTTGATTACTTCTAGGAAGGTAACCCAGAGCCATATGCTAACAAGGATGCTGTATTTACGTTGTGCTATGCTGTCATTATGCTGAACGTGGACCAACACAATTCCAACATCAAACAACAGAAACCAATGACATGCGAGGTACTCTACTAAACTACTTTCTATGAAAAATCTGATTGGACGAGAGCATTCAGTCGATAAGCAATCGTGTGTGAGGTTGAAATAATAAAATATAATATCTCCAGCTGATATTGCATTTATCATGTCGAGTTCAAAGTCTGCTTGGTTTCCAAGCCCATCGTCCGTGCAGCGTTGTCAAACTCTTTCAAACTCATAGAGAAGTGTCGTCTTTTACAGATTGTTTACAAAAATGTATGATCAAACAATTATTGAATTCGGTTTCTGCATAATATCACAAGTTCGGCAGATAATTCAGACCTCGGTTTTGATAATTCATGATATCATTTTCAACCTCAATCTCTATTTGCTTAATGTTGTCTGAGCCATAGCAGTCATGTGTACGGAGTTCTTTAAAATGACTGCTCTAATTCATCTCAATTTTTAGTATTATGATTAGTGTTACGTTGTCTATGTTACAGAATAAGGTTGTGTATACGGCTCTGCTCTGACTGTTCCAGCATAGATTATATGTGATTTTCCTTAACTAGGAATTTAAGAAAAACCTGAGGAAGACAAATGGCACGGCGGATTTTAAAGCAAGCATGCTGGAGGAAGTGTACCATGCAATAAGGTTAAATACTCCACCGTGAAATAAATTCACATACTAAACACCCTTTCTGTGAAATGATGCATGTCTGTCTGCATGTAGAGATGTAAGCATTCATGCTTGTATGCTTATGTGCATGTATGTACGCTTTCTGCTAGCAAGTTTTACCAATCGTCAATCAAAAGAAACAAGAAAGCCAGTATTTAATGGTTTACTGTGTAGTGGAATTTTTACATTCAGGTCACTCAATTACGTACCTGGACTCGCACGGTGTCGTGAGGGACGTCGTGAGGGTGGTCAGATGAGCCTATGAGAGGGCGTGCTTTTCAGTGCTTTAAAACTTACAGTCTCATAACCATACTTGATTTAAAAACAATTAGAACAATTACGAAACGATCCAAGAAAATATTGAGGTTTATTTGGTCCCTTGTCTTACATTTTTCTTTGAAGGAAATAAGAAAATGATGTGGTTTAACTACCTTAGCGTAGTGGTCAATGAATTATTACCATTCCTTTGTTCCATAGAATTTCCAAGTTGCGAGGCTTATGGTGCTTTTTCTTTCGACAGAAATGAAGAGATTGTTATGCCTTCGGAAAGAAGTGGAAAGATCAGAGAGAATTATGATTGGAAGGTTAGAATGTTTGTTGTATGCCTACAATCACGCATAACGGTGCGTTATTTACGTTTAAGAACTAGATTACTTTTTCCGTGTTTACACAGCTTCATCTTAACACAAGGGGAGTCTCCATGCAAACCCGAGACGCAGTCAAGGGTTTGCAATATTTTTAAGAAATGCCATGGGTTCCCTGAGTGAGCAGTTCTTTAAGATGCTCTTGATTGTTAAACAAATTCTCCTTGTCAGCACCTTAGAAAATGTATGAACAACAGAATGGGAATATGCATACCTATTTTATCAATTTTAGCAAGTTAACTTTTTGGCCTTTTTTTTTTTTAAGAGGGCTATGTAGTACAGCTGTTATTTCACCTTTTCCTATACTTCATGTTTTAATTAGGCCAAAAGGTTTCAACGTTACGTCAGCCATGTAACTTATAAATTCATTTGGTTTTATATCAAATGAGATAGGTAATTTGCTGACTCATTTTTGTATGTACATATTTTGTCAAACAGGTTTTGTTGCGGCGTAGCAGTAGTCCTGAAGGGAAGTATATGCATGGCTTGGGAAGTAGCTTTGACAAAGACTTGTTTTTAATAATATGGGGTCCTACTGTAGCTGCTTTGTCGTATGTTTACGATAACGGGCTGGAAAAGAGCGTCGCACAGAAAGCCATCGTCGGATTCAGGTAAATGTTAGTTAACCATAATCCTATCGACAAAAATGACTTCAGCCCCTCATTTTAACAGACAGTAATTTCGTTGGCTGTTTCTTGAAAGTAGTAGTCGCAGCAATCAAAATACAAAAGAATAAAGGCTGATAGTGTCACGCGACGAAGGGCTAACGCTCGAAACGTCAGCTTTTGTAATCGTTACGGTGGCCAATTTACCATTTCAACTTTGTTGATATATCCAAATTATTTCGTTACCCCCACCGACGCAGCCCCAAACAGTTTCTTTCGAAACTATCAGCCTTTATTCATTTGTTTCTTGAACGTCTCGGTACTGATTACGTACCTTGACATCATGGCACTACTTCTATGAACACATTAATCCAAATACTTGGTGAATCTAAAATATTGGTTTCACTAATTGCTTCTTCTTTTCTTTCAGAAAATGTGCCCTTATATCAGCTCATTACAGCTTGTCAGATGTGTTTGATAACCTGGTTATTTCACTGTGTAAATTTACAGCACTGCTTACCCCACCAGAGGTGTGAAGCAACGTTTCTTCTTCTCTTTTGCATTTACCTTTTAAAGACAGAGAGTGTTAACAGAAATACTTTCGTGCAAAGGTTCTTGTTCTTTTTTTATTTTATATTGTAATCCACTATTTATTTTTTCAGTCCCGGCTGATAGGTAAATGATGTGTAAAGGACTTGATGCGTAGGAGATTAATGTTTAACCAACTTCATTTATGGAAGGCGTGTTTTAAGAAAAACATACATAAGTATATTACGACAGTGACTTACATTAGATTAGTTCTATAATCACTCTTAATCTATCGAGACTGAATCAAAGCCAGGGCTCTTTTGCTAGCTTCGGAGCTAAACTTTGGAACTCCATTTACGTTGCTCTTCGTCAACTCCCGAAGAGAGCTTTCAAAAAACTCTTCAAGGTCATGTTATTTTCGTTCCTAGAGGCTGAGGATTACTATGTTGAATTGCTCCTTCTATTTAAAAAAATTACTTATTATAAACTGGCTTTATGATTTATATTCTACATTGTAGTGTTACTATTTTCTTATGTTAAATGGTGCGGTTGTATATACGAGTTTTAAGTGGCTGTCTTTTTCTGGAAATGTTCTTAATTTATGTTTAAGCTTTATTTGTACTCTATCACCACTGCTGTACCTCTAATTCTCGCCCGCCTCGACTAGCTCCTGCTATTTGCGGGCGTGAACGGTCTTCATGAACATGAAAGTGTAAATTAGATCGATAATAATTGGATTAATTAGATTAATTTGTAATTTGTAATTTTCTTATTAAGCTTTCTTTCTTATTAAGCTTCAATAAACTGTATTAAGGAAAAATGTACCACAATTATTTGGTTTATTAGGAGTCAAAATTGAAGTCGATTACTCCGAAAATGATAGGTTTACATGTGCAATGAAACAACGCCATTAATTGTTGTTTGTTTGTTTGTTTGTTTGTTTGTTACGTCAACAGACTGGGGAGAGTCTATCAGTATCGTTTGGTAGAAATCTAAAGTCGCAGCAATCAGCGAGGACCCTGTTTGCCTTGGCCCATCGTCATGGAGATATTCTGCGAGAAGGCTGGAAGAACATTATGGATTGCATGCTACAACTATTCAAAGCCAAGTTGTTACCCAAATCTATGGTGGAGGTACCAAATATTACCTTAATAACCCAGGAGAATTGTGAATTTTGTCAACCACCTTTGTGTTACTTATAATTGTACAATTGTGAGGCATCAGCCATGAATGTTGTAACGCTTTACTTTACTGATGTTGGTTTTAGGCGGAAGACTTTGTTGAAGCGAGCGGGAGAGTTAGTCTTCTACCAGAAGAACTGCCTTTAATAAGGTTTGTTATATTAACAGACGGTGAAAAAATACGAAGTTGGTTTCATGGTTTCATTAAATTTCATTTTGGGTCGATGCTTGGTGAAGGGTTTGCCAACACATTTGAATTTGTCGGTCTCCTCTCGGTCTCCTCTCGGCCTCTCAAATTACTTCCACAGATTATATCTCACGATTCCAATTGTTGAGCTCCAAGATGTTGTTAATTCAGGGTCTTTATTCATGCAGAAATTCATTTATGTCTCCAAATGTCCTTATTCAGCAATATGTTATAATTTGGAAATATTTGGACTAACATAATTGTCACCCGCATAGAACAAACTTTATTAAAAACATTTTTACGAATGAGGTTATTAAATTGCTGCATGAAGTGAGGTTGGATAGCGTGCACAAGGTGCATACACAAGATTGAGACATTGGGAAATTGTCCCTAAGTGCTGAGAAAAATTGAATATTTTTAGACTGCATGACTTCTGTTTAACCCGTGTTCACAGGCAGGAAACATCCATATTTTCATGGTGGTTTGTGAACCCGGAGCCGGCAAGCTATAGAGGTCAGACTACAGAAGACAAAGAAGCACAAAAACAAGCACATACCTGCATTAGAGTAAGTTGTTAACACACTTCATCAGTGGTAATGGAGGGTAGGTACCGGGAGAGTAGCAACAGAGGACAACAGCAATCTCTTCAGTAGTAGGGAGGTTACCTCGGCCACCGAATCACAGCCCCCTTCCATGCGCCTGTCAGCACAAAACCGAAAAACCAGTGTTTGGAATGGACTTACGTAGTGCGAAGGATGCGTCTTTATGATATATGAATTTAAATGTGTCTTAATTTTTACTCAGGATTGCCATCCAGAGCTCCTCATCACAGAGAGCAAGTTTTTGAGACCTGATTCCTTGAATGAGCTCATAAAGGTAATCTTGAATGTTAAATGTTTCACACTCTGTCGACTTCAATTGATTAAGGTTGTTTAAGGCGTTAAACATGGACGAGGAAGGTCGCAAAATGCCACGTTGTAAAAAGAAAACTAAGGAAGAGTTCAGTATTTCATCTATTCTGTTTACCTGCGTATTGACACCTGGGTAAGCTGTTAGTGCCTCTGAGGTTGCTAGAACCATACCTGCAAAAGTTAATGCAAAGCTGGTTTGTTAAGTTTTAGGGATATTAGCCACAAAATTACGATTCCTCATTCCCCGGGTTCATTGTGACAAAAGGGTAATATTTGACCATCGCGGTCGCATTGCAATTCTTAGAAGATGAGGTGGAGTTTGATATTTGTGTTGAGTGTGGTGTAAATGAAGAAGACAGCTGTTAAGGGTTGTTGTGCTATTGCCACTGATATTAAAAAACAATTATTTGAGGACTACTGATATTATCAGCACCACTTATTCACTCTATTGAAGGTTATTTATTCCTTCTTAACCTAAATTACTTTCAACATTCAGTTTTGAAAGTTGAACCCACTTATTGTAGAAGAAATTCAAACAGCAGCCTCCGCAGTAAGAATAGTCCCGAGGGCTTTAAAGATACCTACAGCTTCCGAGGAACCCAGATGTTTTGAATTGATTATCTTATCAGGTACTGATTTACAATTCAAGTATTGAGAACCAAGAATCTGTCCCTTATGATGAAGAAGCTGCGGTTTTCTTCCTGGAACTCCTAATAAGAGTTGTTTTGGAAAACAGGTAATAGTGCTGTTGTATTCTGGCTTTCGAATTTGCTATGCATAATTGGGAGAGGAGTCTGTTCATGTGAAATCCCATTTGTATGCCTCCTTTACTGTTCGTAAGGATATATGTGCCTGAACAAGAACCTTCAAACCCCCCCCCCTCCCCCCTGATCTTGCCTCAAAGAAAATGAAATGAGAAATGGTTACAGACTGTCGGGGAAACCTTACACATGCCGTGGGGGAGGGGGGGGGATACGCCTAGCCACTTCCTGTCACTCAAACCTGGAGACTCTCCGACCTTCTCGTTTGCAAGCTGGCTATACTTTACCTCTATGTCTGGAGTCCCAACTACAGGAAAGACCAATAACAGTCATGCAATGATTAAAGTACACTCTTCGTATTAGTTTTGTTTCCGCAAGAGTAGTTCTCTCGCTAGTATTTTTTTCCGCCCTGTGCGAGGTTAACTATTTGAAAAACGGAGGGATTTCTCTCTTCTTCAGTGGCATATTTTTTTTTAATTTTTGTTTTATTTCAAAGTTAGTGTGTAGACTCACCTTTTTCAGTCGCACATCATGTAACATAATGGCCAAATTTCTTGGAACCTGATTAAACAGTTGTTACGGTGAAATATGATTATTAGGGGTTAAAGTTTACCGACATACCTTTCCTAACAAAAGCTTGAATCTTCAACGGTTTGTCTAATTTTAGGAGAACAGTAGCTGATCTCAAGACTTAACTTCATGATATGTATAATTTGGTTTACAGGGATCGTGTGTCAGCATTATGGGCCACAGTAAGAGACCATCTGTCAAACATTCTCGTTAATGCAACTCATCACAGGTAAGGCAGTTGGATGAAGGTGATGCCTACGAGTTATTACATCAATTACTCCACAATATAGTTCTCTCAGTTCGTTAGAAACCTTCAAAAGGTATACCTTTCTTTTTTGCAGTTCCATAGTGGAGAGATCTGTTGTTGGCTTGCTACGGCTGGCAATTCGTCTCCTGCATAAAGAGGAAGTATCCAGTCAAGTTCTTTTAACCTTACGTATCCTATTGTTAATGAAGCATGATGTTCTACAAGATTGTGGCAGGCAGATTTCATTCGGACTTCACGAACTCATCCGGACTAATGCTTCTAGTATAACATGCTCTCGAGACTGGGTCACAGTTTTTGCTTTGCTGGAGTGTGTAGGTGCTGCTGCTTCCCTACCAACTGTTACTTCAAGTAATGCTTCCATGTCAACGGCGTCATCGGATGTGGGAAGCGATTTGACATCGAGAGATTACGAACTTGCGGACGGAATATCCACCTCAGAAAGTGACGGTAGCTCATTCACAAGTATTGAGGCGGATTCAGGTTTGAGCGGAAGTGTTTTAGGAGACACGTGGTTGTTGATTACAAAACAAAACTCAGAAAGTTCTCCTGCAAACCAGTATGAATTAACAGTGGGTGCCAAATTAAACAAACACGATAGTAAATCGTTTGTGAAATCGTGTCAGAGCTTGGCCTTTTTGATCCGCGACAACGCTCATGTCACTAAGGAAAATTACTTGCATTGCGTGCACGCACTTCGCTTATTCTCAGAAGCTAGTCTGAATGGAGGAGCAGGATATCGACAAGATGGCTGGCAGTTCAAAGAGAGTACAGCTGATTACAAAGGAAGTTGGGGGCGCTCGAACAAAAAGACATCAATGTCATCTTCACGGTCAAAGAAAGTGAGCCCAACAGGTTTGAGGACACGCAAATCTACCAAGTCAGCCACCAGTAGTCCAGCCACAAGTGAGGATGAGGCTGAGATCGTGGAGACTATCAACAATACTTATGACGCTATGTCTCTCCAGCTGCTTGAGCTCATGTACACTCTTCACACTCATGGAAGAGGTATTTTTGATAAATTCCAAGATGAACGTAACCAATTACAGCAGAGCAGCCCCGATGTACAGGGAAACGACCAGAGCTTGGACTTTCTGTGGACTAAGTGCTGGTGTCCATTATTGCAAGGAATTGCACGCCTTTGTTGTGATATGCGCCGGGATGTGAGAATGTCTGCCCTTACTTATCTACAGCGGGCGTTACTCGTTCAAGATCTTCAAAATCTATCTGCCATGGAATGGGAAGCATGTTTTAACAAGGTACATAAATTAATTACTTCCGATCGGTCTTTCAAACACTGGTGTGGAGAGTTGTAAAATTCGGGCCAAATTGCCTTACGGTGAAAAAGGGACTAAAACAATAACAAGCTGGGCCACAGTAATCGAATGTACCTCTCGGTTAGAAGTGGTTATTTTACTATTTAAACGTCTCTGTAATTCAAGATGGGACATTTGAGCGCCTTAATTATTTAAAACTTGTACGTTTCAAACTTCAAAGCTTTCATAGCGCAGCTTTAACTTTAACGCTAATGCTCGAAACGTCAGCTTTTGTAATCGTTACGGTGGCCAATTTACCATTTCAACTTTGTTGATATATCCAATTTAATTTGAAACGTCCATCGAGAATTCACCATTTTTCATAAACAACAGATTAAACTATTTTGGGTGATGGCTAAAGTGGCATTTTTGGTCTGTTCTTTTCTTTAAAAGTAGTTAATGACTTATTCAGTCAATCCGTTGACTTTCAGGTTTTGTTTCCTATGCTGTCTCAACTATTAGAGGTCAATAGCAAAAGTGATCCTATGGGTGTCGAAGAAACACGCATGAGAGCTGCGACTCTGCTCTGCAAGGTAATGTATATCACTAGCAATCGTTCACTTTAATGAGAGACGAAGATTTTAGATAAGTACAGCGGAAGGGCTCACTCATCGGCTTACTGGGCAACCAAGAGGCTCAAATTTGGTCCTGTAGGTATTCATAGCCATGAAAATGTTCAAGAAAAAATCACCAGAGCATTGGCTGGATTCATGTTCCGTGTTTGATTTGTCATATTCCAGGTGTTCCTACAGCATTTGACTCCACTGTTGTCATTATCCACTTTCACTGCTCTGTGGTTAACAATCCTGGAATTCATGGATAAGTACATGCATGCAGACAAGAGCGATCTTCTGGTCAGTATACAACTTTAAATCTTATGTTTCTACTGAGCGTAAAGAAGTGCATGGGAATCACACTCACCTGGCGATTATGTTGAAGAGTTGGTTATCCCAGCTATATACCTTACAACATTATCCTGGTAAAAGTGCAGGAAAGACCAGTATAATTATAGATTGGTGCCTGGCTTGACCACACCTTTGGTGTGTTCTCCAAGATAAATGCATGCTAAGGCTGTGCTTAGATGGAACTTCTTCCGTTCGGCCTTTCCTCTATTCTTCGAGTTTATTACCAGCTGACATAAGACCAACCAAATTGGAAAAATATTCAATTTCCTTCGTGAAGTGGAAAGTCGTTAAGTGGGGTTTTGGTTGTTGAAAGTCCACTTTCCAGCGTAAGGTTCTGTCTCCCTTACGTAAACTTTTAGGTGGTTCTAAGTTGAAGTCAAACTTGTTGTATTACTAAATCTAATGTAAATGAAAGTCTTTAAGTCTAAACTCAGTAAAGGTGGACTAAAAATATCAGATTAGGGGTCCGGACAATAGCTCATAGTCACGTCACCAAGATACCGCGGAAACTTTCCCAACAACTCTTTGAGAAACACGAGTCAGTTCAAATGAGACATGCGCAGAGGCGGCCAAAGGCGATTTTGTAACCCTGTTTTTATTATAATAAGACCGTTTGAGCTGTGGCACATCGTACATGCACACATAACCATTGTTTTAATTTCCATTTGTAGTATGAAGCCATTCCAGAATCTCTAAAGAATATGTTACTGGTGATGTCAACAGCAGGGATATTCGATGAAGAGGAATGTGCATTAACAGCTGCTTCCCAAAGTGATAACCGTAAAACACCGGCTAGGCCACAATCAGACGTACACAAGTACTCTGCCCTATGGCAGGTCACTTGGGAACGGATTGACTGCTTCTTGCCCAACCTCCGCCAGGAACTTTTTACACCTCGTTGTCAATCACCCGTTAGCAACATCCCTAAAGTGAAGGCTGAGCAGGAGAAAGCAGTTTCGGAGGAATGCAATCGTTCCATGGATTTGCCTGGTAATGGTGAGAAATTATGCCGTTATTGTAATTTGGGTTGATTATGATTCTACATTGTTATCGAGTAGTTCTGCAAAAGTAATTGCAACGAACAATCAGAAGAAAGGAAAATACCCTGAGGAGCCAATGAAAACTCAATGAAGTCTCGGATTATTGAAAATACTCATAAACTAAAATTAAATCAGCTAGACCTTAGCCTCTTGCGCAGACGTTCTTAGGCATCGTCACGCAATCATTCCCTCCCCCACGAACGTCTGCTTCAACCCGTAGCCACTTTCGTTCAGGCGAACTGGCCAATCACAGGCCGTTTGCTATTTTTGGAAAACGGGACTTTGACCTCAAAATTCTTGGGTCCATTTGACCTGCGAGCCATGTGACCTGCGAGCCATGTGACCTGCGAGCCATGTCGTCGTTTCCTTTCGTAACCGTTTGGTTCTTACTCCGGCTCCCCCGTTTTCGTAGTCTTTCTTCATTACTTTTTGTAAATTAAAGAGGTTATTAGAAATTTTTTCGAAGCGAATTAAACGTTTGTAACAGTTTGCCGTGCAAATGAATATTTCACTCGACAAAAAAACAGTCACGTCCACATCGATAGCAGCTTTGATTAGGCCTTGAATGTCCACAGAACTTGTGCCAAAAATACGAACTCTTTCTTTAGTCAGTGTGCATCCACAAAGGAAACAAGTTAATTTGCTTCCAACGATTTTTTTGGGGTTTTCATCCACACATGCCATAACTTTATGTGCTGGAATCGTTTCGCGGGAATGTCGGCCCGGGTGACAAGTTCTTTTCTTACAAAAGTTGTCATTGGCTAATAATGAGACAATATGTGAAAGCTTGTTGGTTGTCTCGAAACGAAGGAGAACGGAAGTGGCTACGGGTTGAAGCAGACGTTCGAAGGGGAGGAATGATTGCGTGACGATGCCTAAAAACGTCTGCGCAGGATAATAGCTTGACCTCCGCCCAGTGGGCTATATGTTACTAGAATATTGAACTTTGCTACTTTGTGAATGTGAATTAACCTTTCTTTGCATTCGTTACTTATTTATCTTCTTAGTTGGTAAACCGGATAACCAAGACAAACAAGACAATGAGCAAAGCTCACCTTCGAAAAGCACCAATAGTAGCATCTCTTCTCCTCCAGGTGGCGGACAGCAGCAAGTTTGTGTGGTTTTACAACCGCCTCTGCCTTCATTAGCCAACCGTAGCACCTCTCCAACACACTTGGGCTCCCTAGCAGACAACGTACGCCCCAGCTCAGTCCCCATTATTCTGGCTCCCAGTCCAGCACTTTCATCTGCAGGCCTTTCCTCGCCTCAGGGGTCTCGATCCCCCACACCTACGGACCCCACCCCTAAGCAGCTAGAAATGTCAGAAGATGATCCAAAGGAAGATTTGAAGGCTGATCAATCAAATGGCGAGTCAGGAAGCTCTGATGCGCCTTCACCAGAGAGAACAAAAGCTTCGATATATGACATCTAGGTTTACTTAGGACAGTTTGAGGACTTCTGTGTGTCCCAATCACCTTTAATTTTATTGTAAATTATTTACTTTACCGGCTAATTGAAAACAGAGGTTAGAGTTATTTTAAATGTTTAAAATCGGTTTCAACTAGGCAGTAATACGCATCCCTCCACGTTTTTACAGCTAATTGATCAGAGAAATCGTGAACTGATGACACCACTTTATTTGAAAAGGATTCAAATCGTTTCTTAACGGGTCAAAGGCCGCCCAGTTGTGGAATGACAATTACTTGACCCTTTTTCTCCCATAGGTGACTAGGGCAGAATTTCTTCTTACAATATCAACACACTATCAAGCAGACAAATGACGGCAATAAAGAAAATTATCAATTAAGAGAATATTAGTCGATCCAATGCCGAATTCTCTGAACTATCTTCATGAGAATTGTATGGTGGGAGTGAAGGGCTCAAAACGAGCAGGGCAAATGAAGAGACCATTTATTGAAATCCCATATGTATAATTTGATTAGAATTGTTTTATTTCCTTCACTCGCAGTTATCCATTTGATTAAGAGTCAGTTAAGTAGTGTACGCGTGGAATTGCTGACCATCCAGAAATGGTTAAAAAAATCTCCATCGTCTCATCGACGAAAAAAACATTCATGCACCTACCATAATATGTTAATTTATTCACGACTCGGGCAGTCAGAGGGCCAATAACTAAAATCAACCAATCAAAATGCTCTATTTTGGATATATCAACAAAGTTGAATTGGTAAATTAGCCACCGTAATGATTACAAAAGCTGACGTTTCGAGCATAGCCCTTCGTCGGAGCGAATGAGCCTTTATTCAAAATGTTCTATTGCCGGTCAATATTCTCACAGTATTGGACCGGACACTGTCCCGAATGGTCCCGAATGATATCGCACTTGTGTCCCTGTGAACTTCAGT